GTTTACTTTTCAGCCTCTTTATCTGTGACATGAGATTTAATCTTCTCTGGTTAACACAATTTTAAGGAAGGAATCTAAGGCAATTGTGTTTCTCTTTGAGGATCTTGTTTCTACATAGATGAGGGAACTTCAGAGAACATCCAGTGCTTTGGGAAAGATAGTGTGGACTGAAAGATGGGGGAATGAGGGGATGGTCAAAGGCCTTGAAGCTGCTTTTTAGTTTCATATTTTGGGGTATCCATTTCTGAGCCCCAATTATGGCCAATTTGAATTCAAGATAACAGGAAGGTCTCATGCTTTCTTTTCTTTCCTGCTAAAAGTATCATTGATATCAAAAGGAGAAAGTGGCTTAAAAAGGAAAAATGTGGAGACCCAATTGAAGGTGGACAAATAGAAACAGCTCTAGTCTGCAGTTCCCAGAAAAATCAGTGGCAAATGTGGGTGATTTCTGCATTTCCAACTGAGGTACCTAGCTCATCTCATTGCGACTGGTTAGACAGTGGGTGCAGCACATGGAGGGTGAGCCAAAGCAGTGTGGGGTGTCATCTTATTCATGAAGCACAAGGGGTTGGTGCTCCCTCCCCTGACTAAGGGAAGCCATGAGGGACTGTGCCATGAGAAAAGGTGCACTCCAGCCCAGATACTTACATTTTTCCTACAGTCTTTGCAACCCAGAGACCAGGAGATTCCCTTGTGTGCCTACATCACCAGGGCCCTGGGTTTCAACCACAAAACTGCGCTAGTGTTTGGATAGACACTGAGATATCTGGAAAAAAATTTTTTTTTCCATACCCTCGTGGTACCTGGAACACCAGCAAGACAGAATTGTTCACTCCTCTTGAAAAGGGGCTGAAGCCAGGGAGCTAAGTGGTCCAGCTCAGTGGATCCCACTACCACAGAGACCAGCAAGCTAAGATCTACTAGCTCAAAATTCTCACTGCCAGCACAGTAGTCTGAAGTCAACCTGGGAAGCTCGAGCTTGACAGGAGGAGGACATCCACCATTACTGAGGTTTAAATAGGCAGTTTTCCCCCCACAATATAAACGAAGTAGCCAGAAAGTTTGGACTGGGTGGAGCCCACCACAGCTCGACAAAGCCACTATAGCCAGACTGCCTCTCTAGATTCCTCCTCCCTGGGCAGAGCATCTCTGAAAGAAAGACAGCAGCCCCAGTCAGGAGCTAGCAGATAAAAATCCCATCTTCATTGGACACAGCATGTGGAGAAAGGGACTGCTGTGGGGACAGTTTCAGCAGACTTAAAAGTTCTTTCCTGCCAGCTGTGAAGACAGCAATGGATTTCCCAGAATAGTGCTTGAGCTCTGCTAAGAGACAGACTGCCTCCAGTGCCTCCAGACTGGGAGACACCTCCCAGCAAGGGTCGAAAGACATCTCACACAGGATCTGATGGGTGAGTCTCTTGGACAAAGCTTCCAGAGGAAAGAATAAGCACGAATCTTTACTGTTCTGCAGCCTCTACTGGTGATACCCAGGCAAACAAAGTCTGGAGTGAAGCTTGAGCAAACTCCAGCAGACCTGCAGAACAGAGGCCTGTCAGAAGGAAAACATAACAAACAGAAAGGATTAGCATTAACATCACAAAAAAGACAGCCACACAAAAACCCCATCCAAAGGTCACCAGCATCAAAGACCAAAGGTAGAAAAATCCACAAAGAGGAGGAAAAACCACCACAAAAAGGCTGAAAATTCCAAAAACCAGAACACCTCCTCCAAAGGACCACAGCTTCTTACCAGCAAGGGAACAAAAATGGACAGAGAACAAGTTTGACGATTTGACAGAAGTATGAGTCAGAAGATGGGTAATAACAAACATCTCTGAGCTAAAGGAGCATGTTCAAACCCAATGCAAGGAAGCTAAGAACCTTGAAAAAAGATTAGAGGAATTTCCAGCTAGGATAACGAATTTAAAGAAGAACATAAATGACCTGATGGAGCTGAAAAACACCGCATGAGAACTCAGTGAAGCATACACAAGTATCAATAGCCAAATTGATGAAGTGGAAGAAGGGATATCAGAGATTGAATATGAAGTTAATGAAATAAAGTATAAAGACAAGATTAGAAAAACAAATAAAAAGGAAGGAGCCAGACGCAGTGGCTCACACCTATAATCCCAGCACTTTGGGAGGCTGAGGTGGGGAGTTTTAAACCAGCCTGACCAACATAGAGAAACCCCATCTCTACTAAAAATACAAAAAAAAAAAAAAATGCTGGGCATGGTGGCGCACATCTGTAATCCCAGCTACTTAGGAGGTTGAGGCAGGAGAATCACTTGAACCCAGGAGGCAGAGGTTGCAGTGAGCCAAGATCATGCCATCGCACTCCAGCCTAGGCAAAAAGACCGAAATTCCACTCAAAAAATTTTTTTTAAATAAATAAAAAGAAACGAATAAGGCCACCAAGAAATATAGGACCATGTGAAAAGACCAAGCCTAGGTTTGATTGGTGTACCTGAAAATTACAGGGAGAATGGAACCAAGTAAAATGTTCTTCAGGATATTATCCAGGAGAACTTCCCCAATCAAGCAAGACAGGGCAACATTCAAATTCAGAAAGTACAGAGAATACCACAAAGATACTTCTTGAGAAGAGCAACCCCAAGACATATAATCATCAAATTCACCAAGGTTGAAGTGAAGGAAAAAGGGCTACCAGAGAGAAAGGTTGGGTTACTCACAGAAGGAAGCCCATCAGACTAACAGCGATCTCCCTGCAGAAACACTACAAGCCAGAAGAGAGTGGGGGCCAATGTTCAACATTCTTTAAGAAAAGAATTTTCAACCCAGAATTTCACATCCAGCCAAACTAAGCTTCATAAGTGAAGGAGAAATAACATCCTTTGCAGACAAGCAAATGCTGAGAGATTTTGTCATCACCAGGCCTGCCTTATAAGAGATCCTGAAGGAAGCACTAAATATGGAAAGGAAAACCAGTAGCAGCCACTGCAAAAAGAAATCAAATTGTAAAGACCATTGACACCATGAAGAAACTGCATCAACTAATGGGCAAAACAGCCAGCTAGCATCATAATGACAGGATCAAATTCATACATGACAATATTAACCTTAAATGTAAATGGGCTAAATACCCCAATGAAAATATACAGACTGGCAAATTAGATAAAGAGTCAAGACCCATTGGTGTGCTGTACTCAGAAGACCCATCTCATGTGCAAAGACACACATAAGCTCAAAATAAAGACATGGAGATATATTTACCAAGCAAATAAGTAAAAAGCAGGGGTTGCAATTCTAGTCTCTGATAAAACAGACATTAAATCAACAAAGATCAAAAAAGACAAAGAAGGGCATTACATTGTTGCAAAGGAATCAATGCAACAAGAAGAGCTAACTACCCTAAATATATATGCTTCCAATACAGGAGCACCCAGATTCATAAAGTAAGTTCTTAGAGACCTAAAAAGAGACTTAGACTCCCACACAATAAATGTAAGAGACTAGCACTCACTGTCAATATTAAATAGATCAATAAGACAGAATATTAACAAGGATATTCAGGACTTGAACTCAGATCTGGACCAAGTGGACCTAACAGACATCTACAGAACTCTCCACCTCACATCAACAGAATATACATTCTTCTCAGCACCGCATCTCACTTATTCTAAAATTGACCAGATACTTGGAAGTAAAACACTCCTCAGCAAATGCAAAAAAAAAACAAAACAAAACAAAACAAAAAACAGAAATCATAACAGTCTTTCAGACAAAAGTGCAATGAAATTAGAACTCAGGATTAAGAAATACTCAAAACCATACAACTACATGGAAACTGAACAACCTGCTCCTGAACGACTACTGGGTAAATAACAAAATTAAGGCTGAAATAAATAAGTTCTTTGAAAACAATGAGAACAAAGAAACAACATACCAGAATCTATAAGACACAGCTAAAACAGTGTTTAAAGGGAAATTTATAGCACTAAATCACCACAGGAGAAAGCAGGAATGATCTAAAATTGACACCTTAACATCAAAATTAAAAGAACTAGAGAAGCAAGATAAAATAAATTCAAAAGTTAGCAGAAGACAAGAAATGACTAAGATCAGAGTAGAACTGAAAGAGATAGAGTCACAAAAAAGCCCTTCAAAAAATCAATAAATCCAGGAGCTGATTTTTTGAAAACATTAACAAAATAGATAGACCAGTAGTCAGACTAACAAATAAAAAAGGAGAGAAGAATCAAACAGACACAATAAAAAATGATACAGGGGATATCACCACTGATCCCACAGAAATACAAACTATGATCAGAGAATACTATAAACACCTCTGTGCAAATAAACTAGAAAATCTAAAAGAAATGGTTAAATTCCTGGACACATACACACTCCCAAAACTAAACCAGGAAGAAGTCAATCCCTGAATAGACCAATAACAAATTCTGAAGTTAAGAGTAATTAACAGCCTAATAACCAAAAAAAACCCCAGGACCAGACAAATTCACAGCTGAATTCTACCAGAGGTACAAAAAGGAGCTGGTTCCTTCTGAAATTATTCCAAACAATAGAAATAAAAAAGGGACTCCTCCCTAACACTAGTTATGAGGCCAATATCATCCTGATACCAAAACCTGGAAGGGACACAACAACAACAACAACAAAAGTTTCAGACGAAGATCCCTGATGAAGATTGATGTGAAAATCCTCAATAAAATACTGGCAAACCATATCCAGCAGCAAATTAGAAAGTTTATTCACCACAATCAAATCAGCTTCATCCCTGGGATGCAAGCCTGGTTCAACAAACACAAATCACTAAACATAATCCATCAGATTAAGAGAAACAATGACAAAAACCACATGACTATCTCAATAGATGCAGAAAAAGTCTCAAATAAAATTCAACACTCCTTCATGCTAAAAACTCTCAATAAAGTAGGTATTAATGGAACTTATCTCAAAATAATAAGAGCTATTTATGACAGATGCACAACTAATATCATACTGAATGGGCAACCGCTGGAAGCATTCTCTTTGAAAACCCATACAGGACAAGGATGCCCTCTCTCACCACTCCTATTCAACATATTGTTGGAAGTTCTGGCCTGGGCAATGAGGCAAGAGAAATAAGGGTATTCAAATAGGAAAAGAGGAAGTCAAATTGTCCCTGTTTGCAGATGACATGATTGTGTATTTAAAAAACCCCATTGTCTCAGCCCAAAATCTCCTTAAGCTGATAAGCAACTTCAACAAAGTCTCAAGATACAAAATCAATGTGTAAAAATCACAAGCCCTCCTTTACACCAACAACAGACAAACAGAGAGCCAAATCATGAACTCCCATTCACAACTGATACAAAGAGAATAAAATACCTAGGAATACAACTTACAAGGGATGTGAAGAACCTCTTCAAGGAGAACTACAAACCATTGCTCAACAAAATAAGAAAGGACCCAAACAAATGAAAAAATATTCCATGCTCATAGATAGGAAGAATCAGTATCATGAAAATAGACATACTGCCCAAACTGATTTATAGATTCAATGGTTTCCCCATCAAGTTACCACTGACTTTCTTCACAGAATTAGAGAAAACTACTTTAAATTTTATATGGAACCAAAAAAGAGCCCATATACCCAAGACAATCCTAAGCCAAAAGAACAAAGTTGGAGGCATCACACTACCTGACTTCAAAATACACTACAAGGCTACAGCAAACAAAACAGCATGGTACTTGTACTAAAACAGATATATAGACCAATGGAACAAAACAGAGACCTCAGAAATAACACCACACATCTACAATCATCTGATCTTTGAAAAACCTGACAAACACAGGCAATGGGGAAAGGATTCCCTATTTAATAAATGGTATTGGGAAAGCTGGCTTGCCATATGCAGAAAATTGAAACTGGACCCCTTCCTTACACTTTATACAAAAATTAACTCAAGATGGATTAAAGACTTAAAGACCTAAAACCATAAAAACCCTAGAAGAAAACTTGGGCAATGCCATTCAGAACACAGGCATGAGCAAAGATTTCAGGACTAAAACACCAAAAGCAATGGTAACAAAAGCCAAAATTGAGTAAGGGAATCCAATTAAACTAAAGAGCTTCTGCAGAATAAAAGAACTACCATTAGAGTGAGCAGGCAACATACAGAATGGGAGAAAATTTTTGCAATCTATCCATCTAACAAAGAGCTAATATCCAGAATCTACAAAGAACTTAAACAAACCCACAACAACAACAAAACAAACAACCCTATCAAAAATTGGGTGAATGATATGAACAGACACTTCTTAAAAGAAGACATTTATGTCTGCAACAAACATATGAAGAAAACTCATCATCACTGGACATTAGAGAAATGCAAATCAAAACCACAATGAGATGCCATCTCATGCCAGTTAGAATGGTGATCATTAAAAAGTCAGGAAATAATACATGCTGGAGAGAATGTGGAGAAAGAGGAACACTTTTACAATGTTAGGAGTGTAAATTAGTTTAATCTTTGTGGAAGAGTGTGTGGTGATTACTCAAGGATCTAGAACTAGAAATACCATTTGACTCAGCAATACCATTACTGGGTGTTTATCCATGGATTATAAGTCATTCTGCTATAAAGACACATGTACACATATGTTGATTGCAGCACTATTCACAATAGCAAAGACTTGGAACCAACCCAAAATGCCCATCAACGATAGACTGGATAAAGAAAATGTGGCTTGTATATGCTATGGAATACTATGCAGCCTAAAAAAGGATGAGTTTGTGTCCTTTTAGGGGGCATGGTTGAAGCTGGAAACCATCATTCACAGCAAACTAACATGGGAACAGAAAACCAAACACTCCATGTTTTCACCCATAATTGGGAATTGAACAATGAGAACAGATGGACACAGGGAAGGGAACACAACACACCGGGACCTGTCAGAGCTTGGACGGGAGGGGAGGGATAGCATTAGGAAAAATACCTAATGTAAGTGACGGGTTGATGGGTGCAGCAAATCACCATGGCACATATATACCTATGTAGCAAACCTGCACATTCTGCACATGTATCCCAGAACTTAGAATATATTTTTTAAAAAGGAATAAATGTGTAAAGGTACTGAAAACAATAAAAGATGCCTTAGCCAATCAGGTATGAACTTCAGGTGAAACAAACAATTAGGGCAACAAAATTGATTGTTTAACTCAAAGCTCAGGTACATGGAGCACTGAGCATGTAAAGAAAAAGCTGAACCTCTATAGAACATCAGTGGAGCAACCAGGGACTAGCAGCCAAAGTAAGGGTCTGGTGAACTGGCTATAGAATCAATGTGGGATTTCTCTCTCACTGGCCCCCAACACACATACTTACTGTGCACAGTCCTGTCCTTCCACTATTAGCATTTACCTTCCAGTTAAAAACAGAGAAATAATTTCTAAATAATAAAGCCAACTGTTGGCAATGAGCAAGTGGAGGCTGGGGCTTCTGGAGCCAGGGTTGATGTTACATCCAAGCTTGGCATTTGGACCCGAAAGCCCATTCTCTTGAATTTCTTGACTTTTGCTCAAGTTAAATATAACCAGTCAAGAGGCATGCACATGCACTCTCTCTCTCACACACACACACACACACACACACACACACACACACGGACAAATGTCACTCAAAAATGAATTAGGAAAGAAGCCATCTGAAAAGCCTACATACTGTATGATTCCAACTCTATGACATTTTATAAAAGTCAAAATGAAACAGGCAATGAAAAGATCAGTGGTTACCACTCATTGGAAGTGAGAGGATAAATAGGTGGAGCACAAGGGATTTTTAGGGTACTCTATATGATACCATAATGTGGATATATATCACTACACATTTGTCCAAACTCAGAATGTACAGCACCAAGGGTGAACCCTAATGTAAACAATGGACTTCAGGTGATTACGATGTGTCTATGTATGTTCATCAATTGTGATAAATGTGCCATTCTGGTGGGAGATGCTGAAATGGAGGAAGCTATGCATGAGTGGGACAATTAAGGGGATTATACAGAAACTCTCTGTGCCGTTCTCCCAATTTTGCTATCAATCTAAAACTCCTCTAAATAATTAAGTATTAAAAATTAATCTGTGAATTGTGTAGGAAATTGATTCCTAATGATTCAATTAATTAAGCAAAACATTATTCATAAATATGATCAGGCATCAACATGCAAATGAGGAAAACCAATAGCAAAAATGTAAATAATCAACATAGACTATAGAAAAATTGTCTAAGAATCCAGGCATCGTGCCTCATGCTTGTAATCCCAGCACTTTGGGAGGCCAAGGTGGGCAGATCATCTGAGGTCAGGAGTTCCAGACCAGCCTAGACAATACAGTGAAACCCTATCTCTACTGAAAACACAAAAATTAGCTGGATATGGTGGCCTGTTCCTGTAATTCCAGCTACTTGGGAGGCTGAGGCAGGAGAATCACTTGAGCCTGGGAGGTGAAGGTTGCAGTGATTTGAGATCATAGCACTCCCCTTCAGCCTGGGTGACCAAGAACTACCCTGTCTCAAAAAAAAAAAAAGAAGAAGAAGAAAAGAAAAGAAAAGAAAAAAGACAAATTGTCTAAGAAATACACTTAAATAATTTACTAAAAAGAAAGAAATGACAAGAACAAAAAAAAATCTAAGTAAATCTCAGAAAGATTAAAAAATCATGCAATCAATCAGAGAATAAGTCAAAATAATATAAAAACAAAGGAATTAAAGAAAAAGAAAGTTATAAAAATATACAACCACGATATACTAGGCTCAAAATATTTGCTGTATAGTATAAGATGAAAATATTTGCTTCACTGGGTCCTTCAGGTACTGTCTGGTCTGCTTCCAACTTAATAATATAGGCTTGGCCTTCTTTTGTAAATCATTTTAAGCAATAGAATATGAATAGAAATTACATATGCCACATATAAGAAGATGCATTAAGAGTTATTGCATGAATCCACCATTGTTCTTCTCACACTGCCATGAAAATAAACGGTTTAAGATAACTGGCTGTATCTTCATCCTGGGTCCAAAAGGAAACAAGACATATAGAACCATAGCCAACATGTAACACTTACCAAAAGTAGACCACTGTTTGCAAGCCACTAAAATTTTAGAGTTGTTACCTCGGTGTAATCTAGAGAAAGTTTGCCAACATAAACATTTAAATAAAAATTAAGAGAAAATGTCATGCAAATCATCTAGAAACAAGGGCCAAAAGATGAAAAAATAAAATATATGTGGAAAAAAAAGCTAGATTTCATGGAAGATCAATTCAGAAAGTCAGTATCATCTAATAGGGTACCAAAGAAATGCATCAAAAAAATTTAAAAAGTGAAGGGAAGTTGTCACATGAAAAACATTTGCTAAGTCTGGAGAAAGGTGCAAGCCTTCAGATAATTAAAACCACAAAATAGCAAGTAGGATTTCTTTTAAGTATTTATATTCATGAAACTCCAAGGAAATAATGAGGAGCATAAAATCTTACAGAGGACAAAAAGCAAAATAATGATGAAGAGCAGAAATGAGACCAAAACAGCTTTTAAATATTAGATGCTATAAGATAATCAGCTAAGTTTTCAAATTTTTAAGATAAAAATACTTTTAACATAAAATTTCCATGCTTAAGCAAATAACAATAAAACATGAGACTGGGGGAACAAGCAGGGAGCAGGATATGAAATCTGAAATATAGTGGACCTATAATAATTTTGGAAGAATAATGAAACAAACTTGAAGCATGATGATAATTGTGAAGTAAGCCTAGAAATAATTTAGTACATGCCGAGCCATTTAACAAGTATGGTGACCTGGAAACTATTAGTAATATGGAGAAGTATGTTTTCTTTCATTTGTCCTTTGTTCAGTAAGAAAATGAAAGATAAATCAAAAATCAAGAGAAAAATCATCAGGCAAGAAAAGCATGTTACAAATATAAACTTTAAAATTATATTGTTTGAAAAAACTATTAGAATATGAGAAAATTCATCTCTTTAACTTTGATATTTAAAACATAGCACTGGCATAGTACTAATTATATGACAATATTTTATTCTCTACGAACCTATTCAAACTATCTTGTTCTAAAGTGAATAATATGTATTGAAACTTGGCATTAGAATTGTTCCTTCTCTGTATGGTTTTTTTTTCAATTTTAAGGTTATTATAAAATACTTAGATAAACCAAAATTTAAAAATAATTGTATAACATTTCAATACTCATTATGTGGCTTAAGAAATAAAAACATTTCTGATAGAATGATGGCCTCTTATGTATAGACATTCCTAAGCCCCTTCCCCTTTGCTGTATTCTCCAGTGGGGCTAATACTATAATTTAGTGTTTATCATTTTTGAATGTTTTTATAATATATTACATATAAATATATAAATGGTACATCATAAGGTTTTCCAGGATTTAAAGTTTATCTAAATTATCTTATATGGTAATATAAATATATAAGCTATTTTGCATTCCATATTGTTCTGAGAGCTATATATGTTGATACTTATAGCTTAGATTCATTTCTTTTAATAATTGAATTAATTGTTTTTAATAGTGTTTCTGGTATTAAATGGCTAAATTTTATTGTGAAAAGATATGATATTTACAAATTTTTGGTCACTCTAGAATGAACACTAATGATTATTATTCCTTGTGCACATATGTAAAAATTTTAACATGATAGTACTTCTCAATCTGGTCAACAGGACTCTGTTTTTATAGCAATTATTTAGTCACATGCTATTTACTCTCCCTTAATAGTATTCCCAGTTAATATAATATACCTCTATATACATCTTAAAGAAAAAAAAAACAGAAATAAAAGGAAAATAAATTAAAATAAATATGTATTTTCATACGTAACTACTCAGACCCAACTCTGCTTGAAGACATAATGAAGTAGGGAGATACATATATGACCCATCAATGAAAAAACATCATGTTGTAAAAAGAAAACATTTTTAATGTTGCAAATATATATTAGCACAGGAGGTAAATATGAAGTGTAAATATGTTGTAAATATACACTGATACAGAAAGTTTATATTGGTGACTTAAATATCATGAACTATTCTGCTCATGGTAGTTTCAAAATAGTACACAACAGCATGATAAATCTACAAACAAAAGAACATTCACTTCTAGAAAATTCAGCTTATATTAAACCATAAAAGTGTAATGCTTTTATTAATGTAAAATGAAGGTATATCTGGACTCAGATTATTTCAAACAGACATTTTTCCTAGGTGAATACCTTGGAAGGCATTTGAAAGAAAATCTAATCGTGAACAAAACAATTATTTGCTGTATGGAATTGACCTGTGCATTCGTGGATGTTTAGCCTCTGTGGTCCTGCCCACTAAATACAAGTAGCATTCTCCAATCATTGTGGTAACTACCAATACCCTATACCTGTCCAAAAAAATCACACTAGGTTGAGAATTACTCAATTACCTACTTAGGAGAACTTCTAAGGATATACAGGAATTGCTGTATGTCCAGGAATATAATTGCTACAACATAGGAAATACATCAGTATTTCACCATGGTTGTCCCAAGTTACACATCAATCATCAGTACATGTAACTTTATATAATTTCATATCTTCATCCATATTTAATGTAGGTAGAATTTTCTATTTCACTCTGGTGTGCATACGATTTTTAAATTTATATTTCTATGGTCCTTTGTCATATTGAGTGTTTATTTTACATATATCAGCCATTAAAATTTTTTCTTCTTTGAATATTGAAACACGACTTATAATAACAACAATTTTTAACATTATAAACATTTAACAATAGATAAATAAATTGTAGCTATATTATAAAGTACTATGCTATTGTTAAAAATAATCAACTAAAACTTTAAGTACTGGCATGAACAAATTGACTATATATAGTGATCCCAGAAAATAAAGGTCCAGTATATTATGGAGAATATGAACTCAGGTATCAATATGCTTGGTTCTGTGTTCCTACCCAAATCTCATCCTAAATTGTAATCTCTATAATTCCTACATGTTGAGGGAGGGTTCAGGTGGGAGGTGATTGGATCATTGAAACAGTTTCCCATATGCTGTTCTCATGAGAGTGAGTGAATTCTCAAGAGATCTGATGATTTTATGTGTTTGAAAGTTTCTCCTTCACACACTCACAGCCTCTCCTGCTGCCTTGTGAAGAAGGTGCTGGCTTTGTCTTCCGCAATGATTGTAAGCTTCCTGAGGCCTCCGCAGCCATGTGGAATTGTGAGTCAATTAACCCTCCTTTGTTATAAATTACCCAGTCTTGGGTAGTATTTAGCAGTGTGAAACAGACTAATACAGGTATGTATACACGTACACCCATAAATGTTAGAAAAAGTCTTAGATGGATATATTTCAAATATGAATAATGCCATCTATTGGCAGAAGAAATCTGATTAGATAATATAAAATGGCCTTTCAATCTTTTCTCTGTATTTTTATTTGATATTTTCAGAAATGATTTAATTAAGCATCACATTTAAATTTTAATATTATAAGTAAGTAGAAAAAAGGAAGATAATCATTCCTATTAAGCGTAGTAAAAGAGGATGAGATGGGAAAAACTCAGTTTTTCCTAAGCTGCTATTCACAGTCTTATATACATAAATGTTGAAGGTTGTGTGGCATGTCACTGAAAGGCAGATAAAAGGATAAGAAATATGTATGAGAAACCCTTTCTACTGTCTGCTAATACATGTCAAATTTATTTAGTATCAGAGATTCCAATGCAAAAACAAAATGTTATAAGGTAAACTGTCAGATGAACTTTTAAATACAGCTGTAACATAATAAACTATACATATGTAGATTTCACTATTACAATTTCCTCATTCATCCAAGAAAAATTATTAGCTTTTCAACATTATAGAATGCTACTATTATTATATTTTTAAACATACCAAGTTCCAGATAATAAATTTACATATTAAATAAATCTTAAATAATAGAAACATGCCCTTTTATAAAAGCAAAAACCAAAGTAGGCATACTTTCATTATTTACTTCCATAATTATTACTATTGTGTTGTGACATCTGCCTTAATTGAACAACTTATATGATTATCATGCCCAAGAACATACGCCTTTTGAGGTGACACAATCTAAAGACAATTTTTCAGGCTGCCAAATTATATTCCAGTTTGTTCACATCATGCCTATGTGGCATATTTTACCTCTATGTGACTAACAGTTTTTGAAACCATTATGTATGTATGTATGTATGTATATATATATATATATACACATATATATATATATACACATATATATATATATAAAGTAACCTTTTTCTAAGAAATTTCAGAAATGTATAATATTTAAATTTAATACTTCTATGATAATAGGTATACCTTTATTAGTTTGCCAATGTAACTCTTATAGAAGCTGTAGAAGCATATTTATTTTTCTTGATTTTGGGGAAAAATTACAGAAATGTTTTCTCTCCAATTCTCCCTTTAATGGGCTTATGATTTGTAAGGACCTACCAAAGGCTCAGTAACAACTGTGTTAATAAGAGTTTTAATAGTGTCTATGAGGTGCCTCCTGTCTGCCAGACAATATTTTTGATATATAGTGATTATACCCATATCTGGGGTACATGTGGTATTTTATACATGCATACAGTATGTGTTGATCAAGTCAGGGTGCTGAGAATACTCATCACCTCAAACATTCAGCGTATTTCTCTGCTGGGAACAATTCAACTCTTCTAGCTATTTTAAAATACACAATAAAATATTGTTAACTATAATCACCCTGCTGTCCTATTGAACACTAGAAGTTATTCCGTATATCTAACCATATGTTTGTATCCATTAATCAACTTCTCTCATCCTCTCTGCCACACCCTTCTCTGCTTCTGGTAACCATCATTCTATTTCCTATCTCCATGATACTAACGTTTTGCGTCCCACATAGGAGTGAGAACATGGGATATTTGTCTTTATGCTCCTGGCTTATTTCATTAAACATAATGACCTCCAGCTCCACCCAAGTTGCTGTAAATGAAAGGATTTCATTCTTTTTTAATGATGAATAGTATTCTGTTGTATGCATATACCATATTTTCTTATCTATTAATCTCTGGAAAACTTAGCTTGTTTTCATATCTTGGCTATTGTGAATAGTGCTGCAATGAACATGGGAGTTTAGGTATCCATTTGATACACTGACTTCCTTTCCTTTGAATAAATATCCAGTAGTGAGATTGCTGGATCATATAGTAGTTCTATTTTGGTATATTGAGAAATTTCCATACCATTATCCAAGATTACTGCACTAATTTACATTCCCATCCACAGTGTAGAAGAAGTCCCTTTTCTCTCCATTCTTGTCAGCATTTGTTATTATTTTGTCTTTTTGATAAGAGCCATTCTAAATGGGGTAAGACAACATATCACTGTGGTTTGATTTGTATCTCTCTGATGATTAATGATGTTGAGAACTTTTTTCATATATCTGTTGATCATTTTTATTTCTTCCTTTAAGAAATGTTTATTTAGATTTTTTCCCACTTTTTAATGGGATTACTTTGTTGCTGAGTATTTGAATTTCTTATATATTCTGGGTATTAGTCCTTTGTCAAAGGAATCATTTGCAAATATTTTTTCTCATTCTACAGTTTGTCTCTTCCTTCTATTGATGATTGCCTTTGCTGTGCAGAAACTTTTTAGTTTAATACAGTCCCATTTGTCTATTTTTAACATTTTACTGCTTATACCTTTGAAGTCTTAACCATAAAATCTTTCTCTAGACCAATGTCCTGAGTATTTCATTACTCTTTTTCCAGTAGAAACACACAACAATAAACATATGAAGGAGAGCTAACGCCAATTCTATTCAAACTATATTTTAAAATTTGAAGAGGAGGTAATTTTTCCTAACTCATCTTCTAAGGCCATCATTACCCTGATACCAAAACAAAAAAAGGACATAACAACAAAAGAAAACTAAAGGCCAATATTCCTGATGAACACAGATGCAAAAATCCTCAACAAAATTCTAGCAAACCCAATCCAAAAAAACATTAAAAGATAATACACCATCATCAAGTGATGCACCCAGGGATGCAAGGATAGTTCAACATATGCAAATCAAAAAATGTAATACATTGCATCAACAGAATGAAGCACAGAACCCATGTAATCATCTTAGCGGATGCAGAAAATCATTCGATAACATTCAACATCCCTTTATGATTTAAACTAAAACACTAGGCATAGAAGTAACATAAATGAACATAAAAAAGGCAATATATGAAAAACGCACTGCTACTGAATGGGAAAAAGCTGAGAACCTTTATTCAAAGAACTGTAACTAGACGAGAATGCCCACATTCACCACTGAAAGTCCTATCCAGAGGAATCAAGTAAGAAATGGGGAGAAAGGGCATCCAAATTGGAAAATAGGACATCTAACTGTCTTTCTTTGCATGGCATTATCTGATATCTAGCTCTTGCTTTTCATGTTTCTTGTGTCCTTACATTGATATCTTGGCATCTGGTAAACAATCATGCTATCTAATTATACAGGTTGTCTTTCATAGGATAAGAATTTTTTCCATAGATGTGTCTCTAGTGTTGGTTTTATAGGGTGCTTTGACTTAGATTCTGGGTAGAGGCAGAAGTATAGCTCCATATGATTTCTTCAGCTGTAATCAGTGTCACTGGTGTCTGTGAGATCCTAAGTGGCTTAGACTGTGGATGTTAATGAAGATGATAGTGAGGCTTTGCTGTGGATGAGGACACCAAGTGGGCCAGTCCTCAGGCACGAGTGTGGCAGCAGTAAGTTGGGCAAGTCTGTCCTGAGTCTCCTGGGTGGCAAGTGCAGACACCAGCAGTTGTTGGCAAAAAGGGATGATCTGGAGGCCCCTGAATGATACACATAGGCAGTGTCGGTGGTGGCAGGTGAGGTGTGTCTGTCCTCGGGTTCCCTGATACTGCACACTGATGCCAGTTGTGGGTGGGCAGGTTGATCTCCAGGACCCCAGATGGATCAGTCGCTGGCAGGAATACCAATGGGTGGGACAGTCTCATCCATAGTCTCTGGATGACACATGTCAGCAATGGCACTGTTAGGCAGAAAGGGCATGTCCTCAAGTCCATGGATGGTGTACCTGGGTACTTTCAGCAGCAGGTGGAGTGGCTTGATGCCTAGGCCCCTGGATGTGTGTGGACACCAGCAGTAGGCAAGGGGAGTGGGCAGTCCTCAAGCCTAAAGATTGACCCACTGGATGATGCACATGGGTTCTGGCAGTGGTACACAGGGTGAGTGATATGGTTTGGCTGTGTCCCCCCTCAAATTTCATCTTGAATTTTGGCTCCCACAATTCCCATGTGTGTGGGAGGTGCCCAGTGGGAGGTAATTGAATTGTGGGGACAAGACTTTCCTATGCTTTTCTCCTGATAGTGAGTAAATCTCATGAGACCTGATGGTTTTATAAAGGAGAGTTTCCTTGCACAAGCTAATTTTTCTTTTGTCTGCATCCATGTGAGATGTACCTTTCACCTTCCACCATGATTGTGAGACTTCTCTAGCCACGTGGAATTGTAGTTCATTAAACCTCTTACTTTGACAAATTGTCCAGTCTCAGGTATCTCTTTGTCAGCAGTGTGAAGATGGACTAACACAGTGGGTCAATCCTCAGCCCCAACAATGACTTGCACAGGCACTGGCAGCTACAGTGGAGCACAGGACAGTGGAGCTTCAGAACCCTGGACAGTACATGTGGGAGCCAGCTGCAGCTAGTGTGATGGGTCAATATGCATGGGTGCTGGCAGATGTGGACAGGTCAAAAGCATTATTTCCAAATATATTCTATGTATTGACTCTTTTAATCTTCCACATAATGATCCATGAAGTACCTATTCTTTTTACCATAAGGATATAAAAATTTACACACAAAGAAGCTGTGTGACTTTGTCTGAGGTCCCATGGCTGCTCAACTGTAGAGTAGAAATTTAGAACCATGTAACAGGAACCAGGGCCCTCTCTCTTAATCACTAAACTGTAATGCTCATAATGAACACGAATGACTGCAACCATAACACTACCTTTATACATTATCAAGAGTGTCATCTACTCTTTATGATGTTGCCCTTAGTTTTTCTTCCCTGATGATTCTTCAGAGGCCGATTATTTCCACCTCCAGAACTTTATTGAACAATAGCCAGCTAGAGATTTACCCACACAGTGGGAGGATGCTATTTTGTTAAGAGTTCCTGAACAGTGTAAGTAGAAGAGGCAGTGTATAATTTGTATTTCTCAATGGGAGTCTGTGGAAGTTTTAGAAGAGTCAACTTATAAAAACAACATGTATTAGGCTGGTTCAAAAGTAATTGCAGTTTTTGCCATTACTCTCAAAGGCAAAAAACACAATTACTTTTGCATCACACAAATAGTTCTTCTTACCATTCAAGAGGAGCCATGCTCTGTTTCTTTCCCTCTGGCCCCCTGCCCTCTACCCCGTCAAAGAAAACATGATCTAAAAAGCTGACCTTTCTTTCTAGTCTTAGATAGATACTTGGTAAGTTTGGGCTAAATATCCAATCTGTTCTGTGTCAACATTCTCCTCATAAAATTTGTGGGAAGAATTCCACTTTAATCTTTCAAAGTGTCCTCTGAAACTGTTACGTTGGTGTCAGCTGATGGCAACATTCCCAAACAGCCAGATTCCAAAGATCTATGTATCAGTTGACATTCATATTGTTTAAACATTATGATTTTGGAATTTATATTCTACTCTGTCCACTAATAATTTCAAGGAGAAAGACTCAGGTGGAAAGTAGGGAAACTGAATACATACTTGTATGGTGATCTTAGATTTTTTTTTTATCCCGCACTAATATGGGTCAAAGTTATATTTATACCTTATCACAAAATAATTTTATTCTATAGCAGTGGTAAAGCTGAGTAAAAAGTGTTTTCCTTGATGACAAAGCCCATTAAGCCTATTATTTTAAAGTCACAAAACTGTACTATAAGCAATTATTAGAAAATGAATGTGAATATACACTTACACTTATTGCTTCTTTGTTTTTGCAATTATCATTTTCTTCTCAACTTTTCAAACAGAAAATACTTTCATTAAAACAGGGTGAGTCTTATAGGAATTTCTCTCCTAATAAGATCTGCTACCTTTTAATTTGGATTTTATACTTTTCTTAATTAATCCATCTTTCCTAACCAGGAATCTTAGACAAATCAATTGATTTAAACTCAGGAGACACAACAGATGACCACTGATTTTCTCCATGGGTAATTACTTTGCATTCCACCATACATATCTGATTAATTCATAGAATTCATAGGGATTCAGAGAGTTATTGATGCTGTTTGCAAGCAATCTCTGTTTAGTGTGGATAGGGATTTGATACAGCTGTATAAAGTCCCATTACCATTTTGTTTTAATTTACAGAATGATAGAACAAAGGGAATATTCTGTTGAGTTGTTTAATAATCCTGCTTGTGGGATAGCTAGGAGAGGTCCTTGGGGTTCATCCTTGATGCCAACTCCTGAAATTATTTCAGTTTAGCAGACAGATTAAGCGCTGCAATATTCAATATTCTGAGGAAGCTGCTTCAACTACTTTAGGTTGCTGGAATATCATTTAGGCCAACATGTCATTCACTTATATGGGAAACAAATAATAATCCTACTGTATGTATACCTGATCCCATTCATCAATTTGTAAGACAGCAGCAATCCAGCAATTTTCTAGGTGTAATCAGAAGGCTACACCAGGTGTTAAATGGGGTTTCTCACCTTTCTAGTGGCATGAAAACACTCACACCTGAAGTTTTTAATCATTATCTGTACTAAGCAAAAATAAGTGAAGAATGGATAAATACTTTAAACAGGTGAGGAGTTTAGAGCAATATTATGCACCTAAAAAAATAGGGTAGAGAA